GACGAAGAGATCGCCGTCGAGATCGCCGCCGTCCGCCTCCTCACGCGCCGCCCGAACGTCCCAGTCGCTGAAGCTTGCCGTCGCGCGTGAGAGCGCGTGTGAAGTCCGTTTTCCGACCGGTCAACGCCGTTGACTTCACCGTGACGTCAGCTTTCTGGATTGGTCAAGTTTGTTCGATTCCGAGAAGATTTGATTTGCGGTCAACTGTCCGGGCCAACCAGATCTACATAAATTTTAAGCAGTAAGTTTTATTCATCAAACCTTTAGATCCGCTGCGCATAGGTTTATGTTGAATGTTTGTCCGTGATTTGTGCATATCGAGATCCTCGTGGGTTCCAACACCTGCTCCTGGCCAAACTGACATTTGCCCTTCTTAGCATATAGCTTGTTGTTCCTTAAAACCTGTAAAACCTCCTCAAGGTGTTGTAGGTGTTCACACCAAGACTTTCTATAAACCAAGATATCATCAAAAAATACTAGCACAGTCTTCCTCAATTGTTGTTGAAACACCTGGTTCATCAATGATTGGAAGGTAGCTGGAGCATTGCACAAGCCAAAAGGCATAACAAGAAACTCAAATTGGCCATGATGGGTATTGAAAGCAGTAAGATGCCTGTCCTCTAGCCTCATTAAGATTTGAAAATAGCCTGATCTGAGGTCTATTTTAGAGAAGTATTGTGCTCCATTGAGTTCATCAAGCAGTTCATCTATTATAGGAATGGGAAAATCATGCTTTATGGTTAAATTATTTAGGTACATGTAGTCCACACACATTCTCCAGGTAGAATCTTTTTTCCTCACAAGTAGTACAGGAGAAGCAAAAGGGCTATTGCTAGGTTGAATAAGCCCTGAGGATAGTAGTTCTTGCACGATCTTTTCAATTTCATTCTTTTGACTGTGAGATACCCTGTAAGGATGTTGGTGTTTAGGCAGGCTGGCCTCCTTGAGGGTTATCTGATGCTCAATCCCTCGAACAGGAGGTAATCCAGGTGGTTCATCAAACACATCTGCATAGTTGTCAATTAAATGGATGAGCTCAGGGTGGGGTGATGTTTTCTCTGCTGGGTATTTTAATCCAAAACACCTCCTCAATTTGTGATGGAAAATCCTGATGAAACATTTTAAATAAAGCTGCTCCTAAAATCAATTGACAGTCCACCCCTGTAGTGAGAGCTTATATCTTCACCCTTTTTCCTTGCACAGTGACAGTGAAAGTCATGAGGTCATAATCTAATTCAATGGGTGTGCATGACTTCAGCCAGTCTCCTCCCAAAATTAAGTCACAGCCCACATTATCCAATACCCTAGGTGAGAAGATAAAGGTATGTCCCTGCATTTTCCACTTAAAATCAGCCACCTTGCTAGAGCTGACCATTCTGTTGCCATTTGCCACTTTAACCATGATAGCTTTAGCTCTAGTCATTGAACACCCCAACTTTTTAGCCATTGATTTTTGTATAAAGCTGAGTGTACTGCCTGTGTCGATAAGGATTTGTAGTTTCTCATTTCCCATGATACCACACACTCTCATGGTGGTGACACTCCCTTCTCCTGTAACTGCATGTAGTGCAACTTGAATTTCCTCCATGTCACTGCCACTATAAGGCTCCTGAGACTCAATCTCCACCTGTTGGTTAAACATTGACTCTTCCTCTTCAGTCATTATAAGGTAGGAGATCCTGTTTTTGCACCTATGCCCTTTGGAAAAAGGCTCATCACAATTATAGCATAGCCCCTTTTCTCTCCTACCTGCCATTTCAGAGGATGTGAGTAGCTTGAAATTTGGCTGGTTAGGAATGGGTGGTGGTCTTGAGTTATATGTCCTTCTTGCCATGGGGCTGTATGTAGTGTTAGGCTTATAGCTCCCTTTGATCTTCTTAGTAAGGGCATCTAGGGTGTGCAGTTGTCTTTGCCCCAATTCAATAGTCTGTTGGAGAGTGCTAGGCCCAAACATCTGTATGAATGCTTGTAATTCATCACATAGGCCACTTATAAAACTAGCAATGAAATACTCTTCTGAGTATCCTCCCCTGTTGAGCAGCAGCATACAAGATCTCAATTCCTCAAATTTGTCAACATAATCAGAGTAGGAACCAACATGTTTTAACTTGTTAAATTCAGCTATGATTTTAGCTTCCTTCAAATCCTCAAATCTTGCAGATATGATATCTATGAACTGGGCCCATGTGAGTTCTCCCCTCCTTTCCCCAAAACTTTGAAACCATTGAGCTGCTTTGCCATCAAAGTGCATGGCAGCCATTGCCACCTTCTGAGTATCAGGTATGTTGGGGATTAATTTAAAATACGATTGGCACTTAAGAATCCATACCCTAGGATTTGCCCCATCAAACCTAGGAAAATCGATTTTAGGCAAAGGGCTGATGAATGTTGGAGTGGGATTTGCAGTGAATCTTGTAGAATGATTGAACTGGGAGTTGGAACCCTGCTTCCCATTGTTAATTGACATCTCAGGGTTGCCCAAAATAGACTCGATGTTGTGTGAGTTACCTTGCCAAGATTTAGTAGCTGTAGCTGGATAGAGGCCATGGTATTGGTGATATGCTCGAATTTCTCAGCGAAGCCTTCATTTAATTCATGAATTTTGTCCTGGATCTTCATTTCTGCAGCATCCCTCTTTAAACTCTCAGTTTGGACTATTTGATCCAATTTTTTTCTGTGCCTCTTGTAGGTCCTTGAATCGAGTTGCCTCAGCCATGCTCCAAGGGGATCGAAGCAGCTCTGATACCAATTGTTGTAATATGATGGGTGTAATGTTGATTTACTGTATAATATACTTGAATGTAACAGAAGAACTTAGAGAGAATTAGAGTTAGGGAGGAGAGAATGAGAGTAGAGAGAGAGATTAAGAGAGAAGGTGAGAAATGGGAAACGTTTCTTGCGTTTTCATTCATAACAACCCATACATATAAGATTCTCCGTGGGGTCCACTCCCCAAACAGATTTTTCACTCAATTACCTCATAACTAACCACAAAGGGAAAAAATACTTCTACCAATAATAAAAAGACAAGTGGATGGAATACATAAAATAACTAATAAATCTAAATATTTTCTCCTTGCTCCACGTGTCCCTTCTCCATTAAAACCAAATTCTTGTCTGATGCACGACCAAAGCCAAAACGTGTCTCTTCTTCTTCCCTTTTCTGCTCCTTCACAAATCCTAAATCGAGCCCCAATCCTCCATTTTCAGAGTCCCCCTTTGAATCCATAACAATACCGCCCCCCTTTTGAGATCCTTGTCCCCAAGGATAAAACTTTGAAAAAATGGAACTCAATTCCGAGTTCGGACGACCCCAAAACAAGCCCGAGAAGCAGAGCTGCCCGAGACATGCGCGAATGCGCGCGGAAAAATCACTTTCGGTTTTGGTCCAAAAATTCCATCTTTTATCTCAAATTTCCTATCTTCTTTCACCTTTTCTTCCATTCTTTCTTTGGTAGATGAATTGTGGTTGATTTTTAGTTGAATTGTGGTTATTGTTGGTAAATTGTGGTTGATGTTGGTGGATTATGGTTGATGATATATCTATAAATAGCTCCATCATCTAACCAACATCTATCCCTCACAATCCAAAATATTATCATCCTCACCACTACCATCATTCTTATATGTTGTCTTAGATTAGTTTCTCTTTTGGTTGTGAATTTTGGACGTGTTCTCCAAGGCTTGTACTTGTTCCAGTGTGGCGTGCATTTGTTTTCAGTTTGGCGTTTGTATCAACTTTATTTCTCGACTTGGATTACTTGTAAGTTGTTTTTCTTGTAATGATAATTTGCAATGAATCTTATGTTGAGTTTATTTTTTTATATGAATAGCTAAATCATTTGCTAGGGATAGGGATGAATATTTGATTTCGTATGTGATTATCGTACTCGTCGATTGTTCACTTTGTATGAGTTAATTCTAAATTCGGTTTTTGATTTTTAATTTGGAATGACATATTGTTGAAAAGTGACAATTCAACCTTGCAATTGATTTCTAAGTATTGAAGAGTGACACTTCAATGTTAAACTTGTTTTCAAATTGAATATGATGTGTTCTATTGTGACGATCACTATCCGAATAGACTAGACGACTAAAAATCCTATATTCTATTTTAATTGACTCTTGAACCGAAAGGGAAGAGGTCACTCGATCGAGACTCATACAAAATAGACATAATCCGAAAGGTATTGTCTATGTGTTAAACAACTCGTTAATTTACCGTTTATATTTATTCTCATAATCCAAAAGGTATTGAGGATAAATCTCTAAACGTGTAGGTGACTCGAATTCTTTAACCGAACAATCACAAGTCGATAATTGTATTTCGATTCAAAACATTTATTCTCGATTCCCTAGTATCTTTCGCATTTTCTTCATTTATCATTTTAGTTGTTTTATATTATTTATAGTTAATAATGAATCATTATCAATCTATCTTGATTAGAATGTTTAGGATTTATTTTGTTTTTATGTGCTATCAATATCAATTCTAAATTCCGAATAGTCTTCCTCAAGAGAACGACCTGGGAAACGAATCATTTGATTCGGTGCTCGGTAAAATAAAAATAATTTGTACACAACAAAATTGGCGCCCTTGCCGGGGAAGGCGAGTAGGATATTTGGTTTTGGTGTTTGATTTTATTTTTCGTGTTTCTCTTGTTCTTGTGATATTTGTTTAATTTCAGTGTTTCTCTTGATTTTATTATTTTTCTTGTTTTTATAAAAATCGTAAAAAAAAAAAAATTATCTTTTTCATTGTATTCGTTTGAAAGTTTTTACGAGTAAAACGACTTTTTCGTTTGAAAGTTTTTACGAGTAAAACAACTTTATCGTTCGAAAGTTTTTACGAGTAAAACGACTTATCGTTCGAAAGTTTTAACGAGTAAAACGACTTTATTGTTTGAAAGTTTTTACGAGTCAAACAATTTTATCGTTCGAAAATTTTTACGAGTAAAACGATAGCATCAATAATAGCTTAAAAAAAAACCAAACAAAAAAACAAAAAAAATTATTTTTTTTTTGGCTACGCGTGGTTGTTCTGTTCTTGTGTGCAGGTATATTGAATAGAAGAATCAATGAACCCGAGCAATATGTTCCCCTCCTCGCAGAACCTTTATTGGAATAATGGGCCGAGCTACGGTTCGTATGTGTATGGCCAAGCATGTGCCTATTCTTACGAGCAATCGTGGTATCTATTACCGTTCGAGCAATCATATGAGTCCCCCGTAGACTCCTCTGATGATGACGCTAAGCTCGATAGGATTCTCGATTTTATGGCCTCCCAAGCAGCCCGGACGAAAATTCTTGAGGCCGAAGTCGAGGACCTAGCGGAACGCATTCAAGTCTTGGAGGATCGAGCTTACAATTTTTTTCCCGATTCCCTCATGCAAAATGAATTTCGGGGGAACACTTTGACTGATGATGAAAAGTTCGATCTCATTCTTGCTCGTATGACGGCCCAAACATCTCGACTAGAGAAAATGGAGCTTGAATGCACTCGGTTGGTGGCGAAGCTTGACGACATAGAACGCGCTCAGTCCGTCAAGATTGAATGTAGAATCCACATGGACGAGACTGAAGATGAGGAGGATGCACTCCCGAAGATTGAGGATGATATAGTGAAAGAGGAAACTCATGTTCCCGAATTCGAAAGTCCCTCACTCGAGTCATCTCTTCTCACAGTCGAGAAGGCCCCATTTAGCTCAACATGTTCCACGGACAATCTCATGCTTCGGGAGGATGACTGTGGAATTTTGTCGAGAAGAGCGATGGGTCGTTTCGTTACCATCCGTGATGCGTACGCTCGGTTCCACAAGAACATTGCCACTCGAGCCTACCATATCCTTGGTCATATCACCCTTCCCATGTTGCCGCTTCTCGAGAATACGAAAGCATGGCATGATCGACACTTCTTTTTAGACCCCAGTTGATTTGTACAGGTTTCGTCAAGCTAATGACGTTAAACAAGCGCTTCTTGGGAGGCAACCCAAGCAATTTACTGCTTTCGTGTGTGTTTCATTTATGTTTTTATTTTATTTTATTTTATTTTTGAATAATGGGAGTTTGTGGAGATTGGTTTTCTTGGCAGGATATATCGACGATCGGTTGATCGGGGACGGAAGGCTGGA